TGTGGGACAAATGGCGATTGTTTTGAGTTTTTTTCATGTTTTTCATGATAAGGGGATTTTGAAGGTTGGACACCAGAGAGAGCCAGAGGATAAAGAAAATGGAACAGAAATCTATAATACAAATTTGGGAATATTTGTCTGCCAAGCTTCTTGATAAAATAGATGAATTTCTTGACAAGATTGATAGAGCATGTTGTAATGAAATTACAGAACAAGAACAAGTTGCAATGGATTGTTTTGAAATTACTTTGAGGGGGGCCTTAAATGTAACAAATAATGAGAAAGATATGGGCACACTAATGGTACCGATGGATGACTTATTCCCAAAAGGAGATATACAAATATTGAATCAAGAAATTGACTTGGATAATTTTTTTTACTGGGTATACAAAAGAGCTTTGTTAAGATTTTGAAGGACTTCATTAGAAGTTATTAAAAGACAAACAAAAGGATGACCTTTAGTTATTGGATATAGAAAAGAAATCTGCTAAAATTCTGAAAGATGTTTGGCTTGAAACAGATGAACAGAAAACTAACTCTAAGATTCTTTTTGAAGGGATTAAAGGATATTTTTAAAAACTCAGGGAAAGAATACAAGTTTGGCTTATTTGGCCAGGGCTAAAGGAGAAAAATAGTTATGTCTGGTTGCCCTTACTGGACTTTTGCTGATAAAGAACGACTGACAAAGCATTTGGATTTTGTTTGTTTTTTTAATTCAATAGATGAGATATGGGGTGAAGTGAGATTATGTTGTATTTAGAGATGGTGATAAGCTATTAAGATTGCCTTTACTTGTTGGGATGAAGGGGAAAGTTACTTCTTTCTTTTTTCTTTTTTTCTATTTTTTTCTTTTTCACACTTTTTTCTTTTCTTTTGTATTTTTCTGTTTGTATTCTTTGTAGCCTTTATTGGCTTTTATTTTTTTCATTTATAATTATTAATAAAATTATTTGAAAAAAAAAAGTGATGGAAGTGATAGATCAGCTATAAATTCCCCAATCAAATCTAATCTTATGATACTGATTGAATATAGCAGTTTATAGGAGCTAGCAATAGACTCCCAGTATATTCGTCTCATTCTTAAGGCACTGAAAACAAGAGCTAAACTTGTACAGCAAAAAGTTATCAATACAAATTCTTCCTGCTCAGTTCTGTGGACACAGAAGTTGGAAAGATCTGCAGGGAGAATAGAAAAAAAATGGGATCGAAATAGTGTCTTTTTAAAAACATGTTTGATTAATTTAGCACAATTTCACATACTGGTTGACTATTGTATTTCCTGCCTTTTTTTTTTTTCCTTTTTGTAAAATAGACTCCCAGTATATTCGTCTCATTCTTAAGGCACTGAAAACAAGAGCTAAACTTGTACAGCAAAAAGTTATCAATACAAATTCTTCCTGCTCAGTTCTGTGGACACAGAAGTTGGAAAGATCTGCAGGGAGAATAGAAAAAAAATGGGATCGAAATAGTGTCTTTTTAAAAACATGTTTGATTAATTTAGCACAATTTCACATACTGGTTGACTATTGTATTTCCTGCCTTTTTTTTTTTTTCCTTTTTGTAAAGCTGGAATGGCCAACTGTACTGCTTAGGCTATGTCAACTATCAGCTGAAGTCAGCAATATATTACATTATTATGAATATTGCATCTAAAGACTCTGTTAGATCGTAATTACTTAACATGTTTCCTTATGTGGGACAATCAAATTTTTCATATTTTATTTTAATAATTTCTGATTAATTCCTTATGTTTAAAAATTCAGGCACATTTATTCAATAAGTGCAACTTTTCTCTTATAGTATAAAACAAATTCAAGATGAAGAGATTGATTTTACAGATCGTATTTACCAGGATAAGTTACCACTGGTTGCTAGATCAACTGCTTCAAAGGCTATTAAAAACAATCTCAATTTGACAGAATTAATGGTAGAGCCTAATATTTACAAAAACAAACAGAAAATAAATGCCATCATTGATATACATATGCAGCGAAGATTAATGGAGAGGGAACAAAATCCAGGTAAGTATCTTTCTCAGAACATCTTTTTGAAGAACATCAGAGTTCTTACAAGTCTGTTATAACTTAGTAGGAATAGATATTTTAAAAAATGAGAATCTCAATAAGCTTAGCTGGACTTTTAGTTAAACCAAAGCTCATCTGGAAGGGGCTTTCGATACCTTGCACTTTACTCGGAGTCTGTCTGGTAAGAACTCACAAAGAGAGTTACAAGGCTACTGCTGCGGGAGATCCAGTTTCCTTTTCATTTTGTTGCTATTGTTTTAAAAAGGCCCGTTTTTGTAATGGAACGTATTTAATACTGATTAGTTGAATATTTATCTGCATTGTTAGATTGCTTTTTCTTGTCTCTTTTTTAATGTTTAACCGTTTGATTGTTTTGCAATTAATGTTGTGCTCTGTCTTAAACACCATACAGTAGAAAGAACAGATATAAATCTTAACTAAAAATATTGTCACCATGTATCTAGACTTTCTTTAACTTTAACTTTGATTAGATTATGATCAAAGCTCTCAAGATACCGACATCTGTATAATCTTCAGTGGTATCCTCTTTAATTTTGTCTTTAATGAAACAATGTAGTTGGCATGTGTAATAGTATACTTGTTGCTTAAGATAAACAACTCTGTTGATTTATAGCACGGTTTGGTATTAAACCAACGCTGGGAGAACTTGCCATTCGTCGCCCTTCTGTTTTGGCCTATTCGTTGAGTACAACTAATCTTCACAAGGAAAAATCTGTTCCTGTGCCAAATAGTAAGCATTCTTTTTCTGATTTGAAAGTCAAAGGTTACAATTCTAATCAAATGGGCTGCATGGAGGTAAACTTAAAGAATACTTGCTTAGGAATAAGTTCTACTGAAATAGTTGTGACTGAATAAGCATGGCTTGAATCAGTCATGTGTCTTTTTCTTTTTAAGTGTATAACCAAACTGTAACTTCTATTAAAAATATAACAAAACTTTGAGCAGAATATACTCCATTTGGTTTTTCTGGTATAATCTCTCCCCATTTCTTAATTCTGTCTTTCTCTCTGTACAAGTCTCTGATTTATCCACATTTTTTCATTCTATACTTACTCATACCCTTTTCTTCTTCCTAGAATGTTTATTTTCCTACCAACTGTGCCGTATTTCTTCTTTCATATTTTTATTCAATTTTCAATTAGTCACTTTTCTTTCATCTTTCCTTTCTCTGATAGCCATTCAGGAAGTGTCTAGGCCTTTACTTTCCCTATACTGCCTCTTCTGAGTCTTTTTCTGCTTCTTGGAACAGACAGAAAATTGAAGGCCAAGGAAAGGAGTGAGTTCTACTACTGCCTTTATGTTATTCACCCTCTGTAGGCACCAAAGTAGGGGATATTGGGCCCATAATGCTGCCTGAAGTGTGAGCCTTCTTAACTGCCCATACACACTTGTAATCAATGCATACACTTTAGGTAGAGCATAATAGAGTACTGTCATTAAAGTACCTTAGGGCTGTCTCTGATTTGTCTGGAGGCAGATATGGGTCTCAACTTACCCAGGATGAGTAGGCCCATTAGTAAGAATTACTCCTTTAAAAAGCAGCATTCTTTATTCTCTCAGGGTCTCATCTGAGTGACATTCAAACCATTCAGTGAAAGAGTAAAAGTAAGCAACTGGAAACAAGTGATAAGCCCTCTTTTTGCTTGCTCGCTTTTTCCCTCTGGCCTTATCGAGTACAGTCCTTGTTGCATATGACAAGATGTGGACATATCTACAGTGTCATAGACTACGAAGGCAGATGGACAAGAAGAGGCAAAAGTAATAGTTACTTTTCAAATTTTGCTTTTGAGAAAAAAGTTCAACAATTATTCGGAGACAATGGATGTTACCACTAGAAGCACCTGCGACCTCTTTTCACTCATCCCTTACTTCTCTGGGTAGCACAAGAAAGAGAAAAATATAGCTGCACCTTCCATGACAACACTTTTGTATTACCAGGAGAAAAGGAAAGGGAGGCAGGATGACATGTCAGAATTGTCTGCTGACCATCATTGTAGGCAGCACCACAGGCTCAGCCTATTTATTTCATGCCAGGAGATATATAAGCAGGAGATGAAGCAGTCACTGCTTTCTCCTTCATGTTGCCACTTGGGGACTCTTATAGAACATAAAAAGGGTTAGTCAGGTCATATCCCTTGAAGGGTAGTTTCAGGCAAGTGAGAGTATGAGATGATTGCTTCGTCATGAGACTTCTCTGCATGGCTACAAATTAGCAGGCAGGTCTTGTGTTCACTCTGACTAGGCAACGAGGAGCGAGTGCTCTATGCCAGTTTTCAGATGATGGAGAGGCAAGAGCAGCCGGTGCTTATTCTTGCCTGTAGATTTATTTTCTCTTGGACACCAGCAATTGATAGGAAATGGCACCATGGGAGATGCCTTGGAGAAGAGATTCCTAGGGAATCTCTGACTAAGTAATCATTCCCTTGTGTCCTTTACTGCAAGTCAAGGGAAATAGAACTCCTACTTGCTTGTTCTCTGATCCCTTCCTAATCAATGCTTAATACATGTTTATCATTATGTGTAGCTAGGTTGCAGTATTTCTCCAATCTCCTGCCATTTTCTCTTCTTAGAACAGACTGTTTTACCCAGTCTTATCAACCATTTAATTGTTAGGACTGATTAGTAACCACTAACAATCCTTGGTTATAATGGAAGCTTAGTTTGCTGAAAGTTTTTTTATTAATATTTTGCTGCATTTTGTATTATCTCCTACTAATGTACTTAAACCGCACTTGAATGTATTATTTATTAAAATTATATCCTACACTTTCATTTTCTTAAGTCCCAAAGTAGGATTTTTGAATTAAAATAAAAAGATCGTTATAGCTTATAAATGAATAATTCAATGAAGTATTGAAAACATATTTAAAATAATAAACCATGTAAAAAAGTCTACTATATTTCCCATAATTTTAGAAAGAAATGTGATGTAGTATCTATTACCCAAAGATATGTATAACAGATACATCTTAAGTAGATGCTGGAGCATTATGTGGCTCAGCACCAAGGATAACTATACAGGAAAGAAATTCCCTATCTAAATGTAGAAATGGAGCAAGCATTCTGCCAGACACCTAGCTGCTAAGCTGTACAGGACTTTATATATCATAAGAAGAACCTGAATTTTACTTGATAGCAAATCATCAGCCATCTTCAGCAACAGAACTATGGCATTTTGTACCAAATGCTGCTTCTACAACAGTCTTAAGGGCAATCACATATGCAGCACTGTTTTAGTAAGACAAAACTGAGTTTCCATGGATTGAGTTGGTAACTGTTGGCAACTGTTGTATTTATACAATTTGTGCCTAAGTATTTAATTTTCTCAAGTATTCACAGGTAGAGGAATCTTAACAATAACTCACATTTCTAAAAAAATTGCTTCACTGCAAATTTTTACCAGAAGCTAAAACAATATTTGTATGTTATAAGTGCAATTGTCTGTTTGAAAAGATGTTTTTTTTCCTCTTAGATGTAGCATCCACAGAAATCAGAGGCAAAATGGGTGTGCATTTCAAAACTATTCAAGTGAAACAAGCTGAGAGATTCCCATTTGATGTGAACATAACTACTGAAGCCTCAGGCACACATTTTAAAGGACTATAGAGAAGAAATTCAGGAACACAAAAGAAGATTTATAATCACATTTGAATACTACATTGAGGAATACGAACCTTATAGGTAAAGCCAGTAAAGAATTAATTCTGATATCAAAGACATGTTACTAACTTGGTATTTGTTCGGGCATAAGAAACTGCATTAAAACCAGATCATTTTATCCATTTTGTTACTGGAACTTTACATCTTTGTCATGCTGTAATGCAGATATTTTATTATACTAGCAATGCACAGCCCTGAACTCTTAGACAATGTAATTTTAATAAAATGGATCAGCTTGAGTCTCATTGTCAAGTGTTTTTTAACAATTTAAAAACAATGTAAATTGTTCCATTTAGCTAAAAATATACTTCTGAGTACACTTATAAATTGATAGAAATTACAAACGAGGTATTTTTTTAAAAAATATGATTGTTTTTGTTTTAAAATGCTCCCTTTCTCTTAGTCTTAAGTAGATAAAATAGAAGATCCCAGTGTGACTTCAGTGGCTTGATACTGTTAATGTCTATAATCTTGGAAATATACTTTCATATTGGTTTGGATGTTAACATAACACTTACTAAACCTTTGATTAACACTAATTTCAAAATGCTCATCTGCTGTTCAGAGGATAGAGGAAGACGTAAGAGAATCAGTTACCTTTTACTCAATACTTACCAATAAGGAAGGTTTAATGATTGAAAGTTAGCAGAAACATTGGGGAAAATGATCATTTTGGAGTTCTTGATTTTATGAAAATTTAAAGTGAGATGTAGTCAAATGCATACATACCTTAGACTTCAAAAAAGATTTCAGTAAACTCAGAGGAATGTTAAGTAGGATTCCATGGCAGAAAAATCTAATGGAAAAAGCAACTTAAGTTTAGAAAGTTTAAAAAGGAGGTTATAGAAACACAAGGACAAACAAATCAAAAGTAGAAAAAAAGATGTAGACAGCGAGAACCCTATGTGGCTGGATGAAAAGTTTAATGATCTGAAAACATACCACAGCAAAATAACCCTTGCATACAAAGTGGCAGAATTTGGTGGGCAGATATACTATAGCATCAAGATGATATTACCGTAATCCATCTTTCTAGAGGATGCTGATAAAAAGCAGAGGTATTTATACTTTTTCAGGCTAAGAGTTGCACTTGAAAAATTGCCAAAGCTAAGATCAAAAATGTATGCTTAATACAATCAAAGGTCAGTTCCCAAGAATTTAGTATTTTTCACCTTACATTATGTTGAAGATGATTGCAGAGTATAAAGGGCCACATCCGAGGTTTTTTGGTGGTGCAAGTTACGTTTACTGGTGTTAAAGGCTTTAACTTCCATATTCAGATCAAAGGATGCAGCCATTAGTAGTTGCATAACCACATAGTATGCCATCTTTGTGGCTGCCTTACCGGCATCCTTTTTACTTACAAAAGAAGGTGAAGTTTGTATGACAAATCTCTTCTGCCAGCCTTGCTAAATAAAAACTAGAACTATAGAACATTTTGCCATCTAGAATGTGTTATTGCTGCTTCTTGAACCAGCCTTCTCGGCTTCTATGCTGAACGCACAGGAAGCTTTGACTTCTACAGATTGTTCAATATGTAAAAGTCAAAGCTTCCTGTGTATTCAGCACAGAGGCTGAAAAGAAACACATCCAGTGAGCAGCTGTATTCAGTTTCAGGAAGGAACTTCACACACATCCACTATGGAAATGCAATTGGCTTTGACACATAGATCGCAGTTTGACCTCCCTCCCAATATCCTGACCATACAAGAGATGTAGTGGTTATAACATAAAGAAGAAGTAGTGGTTATAACCTGAAACTTGGTTTAGGGGGGAAAAAAAGTCAGATCTTTACTTAAAACAAACCTAATTTATTTAGGTGCTAGAACTTTAAATGCCATATGTTTACAAACACTGAAATGAAAGGAATTAATTGCTTATAAATTTACATAATGTATTTTGGTACAATCAATAATTTACTTATAAGAGATCTGTTGGAAAATAAATTTTAGAAATATGCTTAATCATTTAAAATAAAGAAGGATGTCAAATGCAAATCCAGATATTCAAAATATATTCTAAAAACATTCTTATGACAGTGTTCAGCTAAGTATTTCAAAATACTTGCTAACCAATTTATTATACAACTATTAAATCTACACACATTAATAATTTATTATATATATCAGAACACAATCCATCATGCATCACAGCTGCAAAAAATCCACTTGTTTCAAAGGATCTTTTTCCAAGACAGCATTTGTTAGGCTATGCCCTTAATTTCCACCAGGAGGAGACAAATACACAAACTTTATTTAAAATATGATGCCTGTATCCTCCATGATAGGTTTATAATTTTAAAAGCAACTATTCAAGGCATAAATTACTACCACATGAAAGTGCTTGAAGATAAGTTTCACAACTTGTGCTGTCCTTGTGACCCAAGCAATGTGCTTCACAAGAATGTTCACAGATACCTAATTTCAATCTATTTTTAAAATCCCATGGCTGCCAATGATATATGCAATTCTCTTTGGGTTATCAATTTTAATATAAAAATTAAATTTACAATTCGCAAAGTTCATCAAACTGTCCTTCAAGGAAGAGGCAACTCAAATCTTTCCACTAATAAAATAAAAGCAACTCTCGTTATTAATGGAAAGACTTCTTTTATCAGAATGGGTTGAGCCGTATTCCTGTCCCCAGTGGAGAGAATGGATTCACTTTTGCCCACATCAGTGCGTCGTTGAGAGAAATTGTTGACTTTCCATCCTCAAGGAAAAATACAGGACCCTATGCAATAAGACATAAACAAATTACGCCTTTGGTAATAAATAAAATGCATTAAAATGGGTATAAATATATGCACGTCTAACTTTGTAAGTGAAAAGAATTACAAGTTTAGAAAAAATAATGATAGCAAAAAATAAATAGTTTAGATTTTAAGTTACTTATTGTTTATGCCAGGAGGCATGATATTTTATGTTAACATCTATAGCTTCCTTTTGTATTTACCATTCTTCAGAGTCTTGCTCCTATGAGCAGATCTTTAGAGTGAACAAGGAAGAGGGAAGAAGGAAGGAAAGACGAGCAAATTCCATTTCATGAACCTTTGTTCATGGAATTAAAAATCTGTGGGCTCCCATATCCTTATTACCTACCAATCATTTATTACAAAAGACAAAGTAAACAAACCATTCAGAAAGCAAGAATATCCCACTTCCCTTTCTCAGCAGTACCAATTTAGCTACTTGTTTTTTAAAAAAAAATCATCATAATGAAACATTTTCATCATCATTCTGTTGGAGTGAAACAAGGGGACAAGATATTTGTTCCCTGAACTCAAGTAAATATTTAAGAGATACTGCTATATCTTATTCTCCTAAGAGCAGTCACATTCACATATATGTGATTCTCCTTCTCGGATAATTCTTCATCTTTTCAAGAAAATTTTACAGCAGCTATTCTTAATGTTTGAAGTGGGTAGGCAATTGACAGGACTGATACAGATTTAAGGGGGAATATTGTTCCAGGGGGCAATTGCAATGACAGAGAAGATACATTTCTTGGATTCCACATATTTTAACAGATGGGACCTAAAGCATGCTATACTTCAGAAATTATCAGAGGGGCGGGCACAATTGGAGACAAGCACTCCTGCAAAAAAACAGGTAAAGCTTAATAAATGATAACCAGCAGCACCTTGAATTTCAACCAGAAGTCAACTGGCAACCAGTGCAGCTCACACATCAGAGATGTTACATGGGCGTAATAAGGCATACATTGCACTGGTCACCCCATCATATTCTGGACCAGCTATAGCTCCTGAGTGGTCTCCAAGGGCACCTCCATGAACAGCACATTGTAGTGGTCCATATGCAAGGTGACTAAGGTGTGAATACAACTTCCCAGGAAAAGGTACAAATATGAGCAACGGGTTTCCAGGTCACAGCTGCCACCTGCTCAAAAAATCCAAATTGCACACCAGATCTATCTGAGGAAATATAACTCCCATCAAGCTGCTAAATCCCTGAAATTGAATGATCCATCCGTGTACAGCCACTAGGTTTTGCTAGAGTTGAGTTTCAGCCTGTTCTTCCTTATCCAGATCCCAACAGCCTCCAGGCACTAAGATATTACCTGGATACTATATTTTCAGGGGATTCAAGAAACTTCCACTGGAAGAATAAGCTGGGAAAGCCCCAGTGCGTAAGAAACTTGCCATTTGTGCTAACTGTTGGATACAACCACATTACGTGATACTTGCAAGTTCTTATAGACTATAGTCCGTTTCTATTAGCCAATACCTGTATCCTTAATCCTGTCAAACAAGAGATATGAACATCAGAGTGACTAGGAAGGTTAGATCCAGAAACACAATTTGGTCCTATTGTTACTTGAAGAGGTTCTTCTTTAATTCGTGATATCATTGTTGTATAAATCTGTTGTTGCAATTCAGATGGCGGTATCTGTAGTAATTCATCAGAAGACCTATAAAACGTAGGCATACTGTTATTTGTAAGAGACCCAGTTTCACAACTGAAAAATAATATTCTAAAAATGCCATGCAATTTTTCCACACAAAGCAAAATGTCATAAATTTAAACCATGTCAAAGTACCATACACCTACTTGTTTAGTATTTGGCTACAAGCTCTCCAAGCATCTAGCTCCTCAGAGAGTTGCTCAATTTTCAGGGGTACACACACTTCCCTTCTTTTTAAAAGCTGGCTGGAAAAGAATACAGAGTAACACAAGATTGAAAGCATATGACATATGCTAGTTCTATATGGATCATACTCCATTCCATATGGATATCTATTCTATATGGATATTGATCCATGGACAGCAGCATCCAGTCTATATGGATCAATCCCTATACCTCAGTCCACATACCTCAGTTTAAATGAAGAACTGTTTAGAACCTAAACTATGATTATTTTTGCCAACTTTTCTCAACCTAGTTCCCTCAGGCTGCTGCTGGGATAAAGAAATTCAGATACAACATATCTGGAAAGTGCAGAGTTGGAGAAGGTGCTCTTGCTTCAATTTCTCCATAACGTGAAAGTGAGGGTTTGGAACAAATCTCATTCTGGGAGTTAAACAGAACATCTCCATTAAGAACACTAGATCTATTTCAAAGGGAATTTAGACATTGATCAAATACTAATGACCATCACAAACTGTCCATACAGACCTAATAAATTAGGATTTTTAAAATGACAGACCTGAGGGGGGGAAAAAAAAAGAAAAATATGCATAACTCTCTCATAATTCCTAACAGAATTTTC